GCCTCTCTTCCTCTCTCATATTAGGAAGGGACGGGGCCGGACGAGTTTTCTGGTCTTGCTTGTCCCACAGCTCTACAAATCCGTGCGTATTCGAATTAGACGCCACGCCGTAATCCTCGCTGCGTATCATGGGGTGTGCAGGAGTAGTTGATCCACACGTTTTCATTAGTCCTATCAGACCATTTTGTAAGGCCCCTGCGCCGGTCGCGTACTTTCGTGAGCGACAGAGGCACATCTGCGATACTCGTAGGCTACTTACTCTATCCCACCCACAGAATAAATTATTCAAAACATATCATTTGGAGTTGTTGCTTAAAGATTTCGCTATTCCTCCAAGTAATCAGCCGTTCACTAAAGCCAAAGCTAAAACATTGAGATGAGTTGCACGAATCTCACTCACCGACAGCCCATTTTCACCGTTCTGCACAGCGTTTTGTTGTTTTTTCGATTCTTTTTCTTTTGCTAACTCCGCCTCGGCGATTTCTGCCCTGCGCTTCCACTCAGCGCAGTCAGTAGCATATTTGGCTGTCTAAACGGTTCATCTTTGATTGAATTAGAATAAAGTTACTTTTTTGAGCTTACAGATCAACTGATTAAAGGCGGAGAGTACGTTAAATGCGACACCATTGGAAACTTAAGAAAAAGTGAAAAACAGTGCAGTTGCCAAAGAAAGAAGGAAACGCTCTAAAACAAGGAAAACAAGACTTCCTTTGTTGCTCAATGATTTAAACACTCGACGAGATTGTACGACTGACGCATCAGTATTAACGCCCTGTCTTGCCTTTTCTGTCTTCAGCGTAAGACGACTCCTCACCACCAACCAATCATAAGTCACCTAGAGCAGGGGCTCCCTAAGAAGGTGATAGTCACCACGCATGAGGCTTTCTAGAGCGCTAAGGGGCGCTCCTCGCGTCCTCAGCCTACAAAATCACACCCGCGCCGCTACCCACCCACCCCCTCGCCGTCTGACTCTAGCCGCTCTAGCAAAGGAAGCGTTAGCGTTTATGAGGTCAGCGCCGATGGTACACGAGGCAGAAAGTCTCATTTCTGGCTCTAAGCTGTTTTTCTTTTGTTTCTTCTTCATTCCAACATCACTGATCACCTCTACCTTGATTTCTAGTGAGTTGCCTTTTATTCGTAAATTCTGAATTTAAAGACCTAACCTTCTTTTACAACCAGTACACTCGAAATTAAGTGCAATTAAAAGTGAAAAGGCGGATAAACGGACCGATTTTCCCATGCTCTTCGAAAGCCTGGTACCCGTATGCTAGTTGTTGCTCCAACTGTTGGACTTGTTGTTGAAGATATTGAACAGCGGTTTCCGTAGGATTAGGGAAGCTGAAAAGTTGACTTAAACGCATATTCTACCGAACCGAGGAACCGACACCGAAGAAATACATATTCACTGTACCTGTGCTATTTGATACTGTTGCCATTGCTCGGCCCACTGCTTGTACTTCGCCGCCTCGGCACGCCACTGTTCATTTACACTGGAAATAGCAATTGCACTTCGAAAAGCTAGAATAAACATGAATAAAGGAATGCCGGGAGAGAATGTTCATTGGCCTACTTACCGATACATTTCTTGCATCTGCAGCTGCATTCCTTCTGATTGAGCATTCAAAACGACGGTGCTCTTCTAGTTCTTCCTAACTGCATTACCAGCTCGCGCTCCAGCTCCGATGATCGTTCTTAATTCAGAAAATAACTTAATAGTTTGAAAAGTAGCAAATAAGAGTCGATTTTTCTGTGATTTTTTTTTCTTTACGCGCTTGTTTTAGTTGTTCGATTTGCGCAGCCGTTCGCTTTGCCTCTTGCTTGAGAACCGCTATTTCCTCATCTTGACGTTTAATCAGATCCTATCAATGTAAGCTTTTGACCAAGACAAAAGCTGGCATTTGTTTCCAGAAAAAAATAATTCAATGTAAAATAATCCAGCCAAGGCTGACCTTGAACGACTGAATAATGTTATCATTTGATGTCGTCCCGTTGAATTCCCCGGAAGGTCGTAGCATTTTGATTAGCTGGCCTGAAAAAAAAGTTCCGAAGAAGTAATACAATTTACCTAAATTACTGAGAGAAGTCAGATTAGAACAATTGCTTGATCCTGGTGCTTACTTTCTGATGATTTGAACATCTTGATGAAGTGGTAGTCCAAGAATAGCTCGTTTGGCGTTTTCGTTAGAGGTTGCGGTTTTTGAGCAGCACGGACAAATTGTTCCGTTCGTGACAATCCTTCGATAGCTCCGATCACTGTATCACGACCAACTCGTCGATCGACGAGCTTGTTCCAGGGATGTCCTGTAAGACTTCCTATCTAACAGCGCCACCACGATAAGACAAGTTTGACAGTATTACTGACGAGCGCTTATCTTACAATGCTTATGCAGCGCCACCCTGAATACTAGCCCTACAATCCATTTCATAACTGTGTCAGCAGCACCCTCAGGAAACCATCATTCTTCAAAGGCAACTGAATCTGCGTTCATCGGAGGAACAGAGAAGAGAAAGTCCCATTTGAGACGACGACAAAAACTCTCACTATTCACGAGCGGAAGTCGCTTACGGCGCTTCGGACCCCCCATGAACAACTCATACGAACGCTCATGGGAGTATGACCTATTAATTACGACACCAAGGCCTTACACTGTAATCTCAAGAGTTTTTTTTCCAAAGCCACATTCAGCATTGCGCTCTAGGAAAAATTGAAAAGCTGATGCTCACGCAAATTAGAACAAATACGCATATTGTGACGCAAATAACAAATAAAAATTCGATGTGCGAATAGTTACGCTGCGACAAGAACGCCCTTCAAAAGTAGCTGTAAACCTCAAAAAAGTTGGCGGATAGCGTATGCCACAAGAAGAACATGCCGTGTGGTCGGAATTCGTGCAAAGATTTCGCTATTTGCATACTTTTACAGTTATACTGCCCACCAGCAAGCAAATAAGTTTTTGAAAAATCATGCCCCAATTTTGAGCTTTTCGTCAGATGCCACAGAGCATCATTCAGACAACAGGGAATTTGATAAAAGGGTGATGATATATTTATGTGAATACGGCAGCTTACGGTTGATTAGCAGTTCTTTCAACGTTCTCTAGGCAGACTAGCAGAAGGAAAGCCATCAAACCTTTGAGTACTTGCTGCTCACTTTCCGTTCCTTCACCACAGTCGTCAACTGAAACTAACGGATTATGACGAGTTCTAGTAACTGAAAAAAAAAACATACGGATCTGTGTTGTCAAATAGTGAAGATTGTCTTCGTTTTCAAGGAAAATCGCAACAGCAGATGGGCAGTTTTTCAACCATGTTGATAAAAGCATCAACACACCGCACGCATTTGAACCCTGCGGTTACCCATGCTTACCTGAAACAAGGAAAGTAGCAATTACAAACCAAGGGTTTGGACCATTTCACTATGAACCACTAACCAAAAGACTTGAAACGTGTTTAATTAGCAGTACTGGTGGTTGGTCAATGGTTGTAGACACCTGCACTCGTAAAAGCTGCTCTCTAAAATAACACGGTGATAAAAGGGCTAGTCCGTAAATTCGTACCCATAAACCAGCTTTAATACACATAAGAACATAAAGATGTCTACAAGTAAACATGAGCGGCTTTTAAAACACAACTTTGTTGTTCTGGAGCAATTCAAACATTTAAAGCGGCCAGCACAGCTGCGCAATGGAAAACTTGCAAAGAATATAACATTTACATGAAGGATTCTAATCAGATTCACATATTTCGCTGCAAGGCTTAAATGACGAATTGAATAAGAAAATAATAAGAAAAAGAAAAAAAAAAAAAAAAACCTCAGGTGTTCAACGTCAAGTAAGCAGTAAAGAAGTGATACGCAACCGAACCAGCACTGCACTGACTCACTCGAAGTGATGGCCTAAAACATTAGAATATTTTGCTACCGTGAAGAACGAACGTCAAAGAAGAAATCAAATGCACAGATCTGGGAAACATTGACATGTGCAAACACATCTATAAACGAGTTGCATTGAAAATGGGAGGAAGAGAAGAAATACCTTCGCTAATGAATTTGAAAAAAAAGGACAGGATAATAATCATAACAGAATGCTGAGTTGTAGGCAAAACTTTCGCCCCAGCAAGAAATTGTACACAGAAAACTCAAAAGGCTACGATTTCTAACTGATTCTTACGCCCTATTTTGAAGCGATTCAATCCAGTCTTGTCACAGCAAACAAAGAAATGTACCTGGCAAATCAAAGAGCCCGTTGACAGCGCAGTATCCGGTTGACTGGTAGGCAGCAAAGTTTCGATCACCTTCAAAATCAGTAATCACGGGATGTCGATGATGACACTGTTGCGGCGACAGGCCAAGGGGACCGCAACAAAAGACACTTTCGCAATAGCTCAGCAATTTCGGATTTCTACAACTAAGCTAGTCCCACTCTGAATGTGAGAACTATCACTCAGAGCGCTTTCATAGTCGGTCGCCCAATGGTAGCGATTGCACGGCACTAGTTACTTATCGATCGTTCCATAACCCGACGATCGATACGTACCAAATGCTAAGCGACCGCTATGATCAAACGAGTAGACGATCGGCTATGAAAGTGCCCTTCTTGTCGCTGAATGTCGGTACTACGATTACACACAACAAGCCGAAATTGAAAAAAATACCTTCGTTTTTCCAAACTCGTTGTCGTGAAGATACGAAAGAAAGCAATAAAAAACAGCACAACGCATTTTGAAGGGCTGTTTCTCAGCTGTCATGGATATCAGCAATACGACAAGTGAAGTTCTAGGAGAAAAATAATAAGAATAATAAATAATAAAACCACAAGGCTACTGTAAATCGAACCTGCTGAGGTTCTCATTGGTGATAAGGGTGGTGTTAGCGAAGTATTCCTGATTTGTGTAATTCCCTCGTATAGCTTCCGCCACTGCGATCACCGTCTCAGTAAGCACTTCTATTGGTAACCCCATCTCGGAAAGCAAAACTCGGCACAATTCAGCAAGCATTTCTGAACATCAATAGTCATGAAAAGTGGAAGAGAATGGATTTGCTTAACATGAACTAGTTAAGCTGATGTTGTGAGCATCACGAGAGCAAGGTTTATGGTGTCGGACGCTCTTGGTACCAGGACGAGCTGCGGATGAGGAAATTTGGATAATATGGTCCCTTCACCCTCTCAGGACCCGTATGATTTTTGAGGGAGGAAGGGGTAGTATCAGCCAGGCAGGGCTCGTACGACCTTTACATCCCTCAGGCTTTAGAATACTACGAGTAACCTTTGTCGCCGGGTCCCACTATACCCTTCTTCCATCCTACCAGGAACCACACCTGGCTTCATACTAAAATGGCTAGCCAGGGTAAGGTGGGCACACACTCGATGAAAACAACAAAATTACTGGAATCTTTCGCAAAATTCCCATAAAATTCTCCACTTTCTCAAGAACTTTCGAGGCTCTTTCGCATTTTTTGCGCCCTGATACTCTTTACTTTGCTACTCCTCCTACGGTAACACACATACTTTTGCTACTCCCTACGGGAACACATGGCTACGTCCTCCCAAATACAACCATCTAAGGACAGCTAAGCACAGTTCCATGAACTAGAAAAAATGGTCCACAAAAAAGTAAGCACTGCATGACTTCATGAACCAATTCTATCCCACATTAGGAAATTCACAATGTTCACCAAATGCTCCCTACTGCAAGAAAAAATTCTACTAGTTCTTCAGGAAGATAACATTGCAGATAAAAAAGAACATGATATATGATGAGTAATGGATAAAATAACATAAAAAAGAAAAGACCAAGACCCTCACTTGTTTGATGGAGAGCTTTTTGAGCAGCATGAGTGTTGCTTACTGCATTGTCGGGACTCACCAAACTTCTGTAAAACAAGTTAAGAATAGACAATGAAAATTTGTAAAAAAAAAACCAGACTAAGGAAGAAAAATGAGTGCAACTACCTTATAACTTGTAGAAGGAATATTATGTTCGCGGTTCGTTGTTTTACCCACTCTAAGCTATCGGTTTCATCTTCTTCTGAACCATATAGGAACGTATTAAGCATCACTCCCAAACGAGCGATCAAGCTAAAATAAGCAGGGATGAGTCCAATTTGGATATTTCCTTTTAGTCAGCTTCTACATAAGATATATCCAGTGGACCACCAACTAAACCTTCAAGTAATTAGTTTCGTATGGACGAACCCCTACTATGTAGAATAGTGGTAAATATTTGGAATGAAAATCCTCATTTTCTGGATCTAATTATTCACACACTTAATAAAACTGCCTAAGAAAAAGATGACTTCTGAGTTCACTCGACAATGCGACCAATTCAAGCTCACATTGCACTTTGAAATGAAGAATTCAAGTTCCGTACAAATTATTATAACACACGGGAAACCTACTTATTCTCCCTAAACAATTGTTGATTCATCGCATTCTTTCTGAGCAGGTTCAATATAACAAATAAACAGTCTTCAATGATAATACCTGAAAAGAACAGATAAGCAATCGAAATTCCAAAACATTAAATTTTAGAAAACAATGCGAAAGGTGGGTAAAAAAGGATCTCGAAAACATATCCAGCAACTCACTATCCAGTGGCTCTGTATCGATGATATCCAAGAGATGAACAAAAGCATTTTCGTATGCCAGCAGCTGTTGAATCTGCAACGGCGTGTTCACAGCAGATTTCTACTGAAGGAATGCAGATATCATTACCTGTGAATTTGATCTACTTAGTTCACAGAGCATTAAGACAGCTTCATTTCGAACTACTTCGCGTCGGTCGTGAACAATATCCACGAGATGAGGAACACCTGTTGGCTGAGGCGCCCTGCACGTGCTGCCTGTACTTCGGGGGCCGCGGTGACGAAGCAGTGAAGTTAGCAATTGTATCCCAACCCTGAAAACTAAGCTTACATGAACAATCTTATTCGTGTGAATGACCTCTCTTTCCTACAAAGGACCTCTAGTTTGTTAGAAGAACGATAAGAAAATGTTTGCATAAAAGTCCACAACTGATGTCGGTATCTCCAGCTCAGGCAGGTGTCAGAGTTTGCGACCCTCGTGTGGGATGCTGCAATGACAGTGCGAATAGCGCGTGATTAGGGCAAATCTCATCCAGGGTTGCCCAAGTCTTGATGCCTGCCTTTCAGTGAGTACTCATCAAAAGGAACGATCATCTTGCTTGTCGTTCACCTCTATAGCCAAGTATGGCTACATCTCTAGAGCAACAGTAAAGATGGTGTTATGTGAAATCATGAGGTGGCGGTCGCAATTACGACCGTTTTACATCTCGAATGTGTAGTAGTTACGATCATGCAATCTTGCGATTGCATGATCGATACGTATTTATTCCACACCTGGAGTGCAAACGAAAAGGAGGCAGTCACAAATATGACCGCACTCGAATTATATTCTCTAGCAGTAGGTCATATTTTAGGGTGGAGGAAAAACCAACTGGATAAAATGACGAGTTGTAACAATAGATTTCTCACAACCAATTAAAAAGTAAAGAAAAAAGGCCATGAATGGTTACATTTGGCCACAAAACTACAGTAAAATGGCAAAATAATCAAATTAATGGGATGTCTCTTAAGCAATAGCAGGGGTGTTGCTGAGACAAAATAGAAAGGGACCTTCTGTCCGGCTCTGCTGATGCCAGTCCTGTGACCGCAATCGCTAGCGATCGCCCCTATTAGGCAGAATGCAGAAACAATTTAGCTGCCGTCAAGCATGCCATCAGAAGATTATTTAGTTCCTCGAGAGTAAGTCCTAACCACTGGACTACATGGGAATCAAAAGGTAAAGCGGATTCGAAAATGCCCCTATTTTGAGAATAGGAAATCGAGGCTCACCGACGAACACAGTTATGTCGTAATCATCTACTGCAGTTAGAAGTGATGGGATGAAAACTGGCTTTTTCAGCATGACCTGCAAAGATTATGCAAAAGTACCGATACAAAAGAAGCAAAGTATTGTAAGCGAACAACACAAAACCAACCTCAGCTAGACGTTCCCCAAGCTCGTCGTCATCCGTGCTTTCATCATCGCTGCTTAGAACTGCTACGAGAATTTCCAGAGTTATAGCGAGAAGCTCTTGGTTTGATCTTTCCTTTTCCAACACGTCCATATATACATTCATACCCATTGTACCAACAGCTAATCGCAGCTTCTAAATTAATCGCTCGTAAGTAGACCGACATAACACAAGACTTAAAAAGCCTCAAACATATAGTAAAAGTCTACCACTATTCAGCACAATTCACTTCTCCCCCCACCGCAGGAATTAAACCGATGTTCTAAAACGAATTGCATGCATTAGGTGAAACATATATCCAGCGGTGTGGAAACTGTTTGCTCTGATTTCAAGCCTGCGTGCGCCACCTAATCATCCGCATTTGTATTGAAGGGAGTTATCCTACTATATATAATTCGCTAAGTATGTCTGTGTGTGTGTAGGTCTGTGTGTGTGTGTTTGTCACGAAATTCATAGCTCGGGTCACAGCAACGATAGCGCCATGGTTCTTACATATGTTATAGGGGGTGGGATGGGGACTCAAGTGGTACGTGATAGGAACTGATAACGACTGATAATAGCTGATAAGAGGGGCTAGAAAGCGAGCATCGCCAATTTCGTTTTGTCGTTCATATTGGTACTAGAGCGTCTATACTTACAAGTGTTATGTGGGTGGTCCCGGGACAATGGTGGTACATGAATGGAAGCGATAGCAACTGATAAGGGCTGATAAGGGGCGTCAGAACGCAAAAGTCGTCGATTCCGTTACGCAGCTTGCGTTGACACTAGAGCGTCCATACTCGCAGGTGTCATGTGGGGTGGGACGGGGACATTGTTGGTGATGGAAAAGTGGTTAACTGATAAGGGCTGATAAGGGGCGTCAGAACGCAAAAGTCGTCGATTCCGTTACCCAGCTTCCGTTGACACTAGAGCGTCCATACTTACAAGTGTTATGTGGGGCGGTCCCGGGACATTGGTGGTACATGATTGGAAGCGATAGCAACTGATAAGGGCTGATAAGGGGCGTCAGAACGCAAAAGTCGTCGATTCCGTTACCCAGCTTGCGTTGACACTAGAGCGTCCATACTCGCAGGTGTCATGTGGGGTGGGACGGGGACATTGTTGGTAGGTGATGGAAAGTGGTTACAACTGATAAGGGCTGATAAGGGGCGTCAGAACGCAAAAGTCGTCGATTCCGTTACCCAGCTTGCGTTGACACTAGAGCGTCCATACTCGCAGGTGTCATGTGGGGTGGGACGGGGACATTGTTGGTAGGTGATGGAAAGTGGTTACAACTGATAAGGGCTGATAAGGGGCGTCAGAACGCAAAAGTCGTCGATTCCGTTACCAGCTTGCGTTGACACTAGAGCGTCCATACTTACAAGTGTTATGTGGGGCGGTCCCGGGACATATGGTGGTACATGATTGGAAGCGATAGCAACTGATAAAGGGCTGATAAGGGGCGTCAGAACGCAAAAGTCGTCGATTCCGTTACCCAGCTTGCGTTGACACTAGAGCGTCCATACTCGCAGGTGTCATGTGGGGTGGGACGGGGACATTGTTGGTGGGTGATGGAAAGTGGTTACAACTGATAAGGGCTGATAAGGGGCGTCAGAACGCAAAAGTCGTCGATTCCGTTACCCAGCTTGCGTTGACACTAGAGCGTCCATACTTACAAGTGTTATGTGGGGCGGTCCCGGGACATTGGTGGTACATGATTGGAAGCGATAGCAACTGATAAGGGCTGATAAGGGGCGTCAGAACGCAAAAGTCGTCGATTCCGTTACGCAGCTTGCGTTGACACTAGAGCGTCCATACTCGCAGGTGTCATGTGGGGTGGGACGGGGACATTGTTGGTAGGTGATGGAAAGTGGTTACAACTGATAAGGGCTGATAAGGGGCGTCAGAACGCAAAAGTCGTCGATTCCGTTACCCAGCTTGCGTTGACACTAGAGCGTCCATACTTACAAGTGTTATGTGGGGCGGTCCCGGGACATTGGTTGGTACATGATGGAAAGCGGTACAACTGATAAGGGCTGATAAGGGGCGTCAGAACGCAAAAGTCGTCGATTCCGTTACCCAGCTTGCGTTGACACTAGAGCGTCCATACTCGCAGGTGTCATGTGGGGTGGGACGGGGACATTGTTGGTAGGTGATGGAAAGTGGTTACAACTGATAAGGGCTGATAAGGGGCGTCAGAACGCAAAAGTCGTCGATTCCGTTACCCAGCTTGCGCTGACACTAGAGCGTCCCTACTTACAAATTCTATTTGTAGTGGTACGTGCACACTGTATCATTGTATGACCAGCTTACTTAATAGCAGTCTATTGCATAAACTCAATCAAGTCTTCAGCAAATGATAACTTTCATTTCTATCAAGAAAGCCCAAACTCATTAAACCGCTAATCCTTTCGGGGTTCTAAATAATGGTGAATGTAAATAAATGATAAGCCTTAGCTCCTCACTTATGTAAATAGGCATAGTTCATTTTAATTTTGAGACTGACAGCAATCCTATTCACCGCTAAATTATCTGAATTCAAGAAGAATGGTGGATGTTTACAGTTGTGAGATAATTATGCCAGTTCAGCTCCAGACGTTATCACGCGTATTCTCGATGGACTTCAGCGGAAACTGGGAAAAGTCTAACATTCAATAGTGAGGTGGCTAATGGAGGGCCTCATGCTGATATTCCATGGGTCTTTCAGTTTCACTAAAGCCTGCCGTGTGATGCGCGCGATAGCGGGCGGAGCAAAACTGGTTAAATACAAAATTCCATTCAACATAAAAGTTTACACTCGCTGAGAGCCATTTAACGTCGAAATCGTCTGCATTTGCCATCCCCTCCCTTCCCCAATTTTTCGTACCAGGAAAGCGCCTCGTAATCGAACATCATTTTCTTCAACAGCCCCTAGAGTCATAATTTTGTTTCGAAAAAAGCCAGAGCCTTACTTTGGCCATGCCACGAAGTGCTCGAAGTGCATCTCGCCGATCTTCGAGTGCTGTACAAGTCTCGGCACGCTCCACCATTTTCTCCACAATTTCAGCTCCATCTTCCTCTTCAGCTTCTGCTCCACCTCCACCGAAAAAGCTTCGAAAATATGCCATACCTGAACAAATAAGCGGTACTACTCAACTATTACAGCGTACTATTAAAACCTTATTTTTCGTCAAATCTTTGCCCGTATTCGATGGCATGATTATTGAAATGACATTCATTTTTAGCGAAAGGGTCTCCTGGCAACAGTTAGCATCACCTAATCACGACACTTGCTTCCACCAAATTCGGTGTAAAATGTGCACAGGGGTTATTTATCGTCCTGATTACAAATATGACATTCTTTCTTGGTGCTGACGTCATGCAGCGCCTATTTTCGGCTTGCCTGCGCTCACTCACTGATAGATCGTGATCAAAACTAAGCCTTCGGGAAGAGGAGGGCTCGGAGGTGAGTAAGCCACTCACCCTTTGAATCACGCGTTTCAACTTTTGCCACATGGTGCTTCTTTCACCCACCCCGGAGTACCCCTACCTCCTGAGGCCATCCTCACGGACTTTGGGCCATCGGGTGCAAGAACACGCTCAGGAAGGGTAATATGCCGTTAATCTGTACTGAGAAGGCATAAAACAGCCACTTTATTGAATATAAGCCAGAAGTTTTTCCCCAAATTGAAAACAATATTGCACCTTTTCGGATGTTAAATCAAGTCGTACCGACCAATTCGAAGTCGAGCAAAACCCAAATACAACACTGGTAAAAAATAAATAAACAAATGGAACAGCAACACAGGACACTTGTTAAAATAACAAAGTTATTTCAAAGCAAATGAAGTAATGCCAACTAGTAACATGCTAGTGCATTTGTGCGTCCGCGAAATTGCGTACCTCATTGGTGGAATGTCACGTCAGCAGCTTTGTTGGCAATGGGCTTCAAGCCGCATGGGGCTTGTTCTTTTATTTACAAATGCTTGAAATTAGCATGATTTGCTTCGCGCTTGCTTGTTTACTGCTAACATAAAAGAGCTATAAAATCTTTTTCAGACATTCAGACATGACGACAGGAGCGGCGGGTTAAGAACCTAAAGTACGTTTCTCTGGTTGTCCTTATCGCCCAGACCACTGCTCTTGTACTGATACTGCGATATTCGAGAACTCAGGTTGGTTGAGTTTTTCTTGATGGAGTTAAAGAAAAACTTGGCACAGTTGGGCTTTCGGGGCGTGTCAGGGTCACGAAACGCTCCGTTTTAGAACCAAAGCCTAGTACCAAGACGCAAGAGGCTCTGAGGTGCGTGAGGTGCGTCAGCAATTCCAATACTCTCCCAAAGTTCGTCCCTCTCCGTCTGGCTTAGTCCTAATGGCTTTTCTACGAGGTGCCCCTCCTCCCTCCCCCTCCGGAGGCACCTTGCGCCAAAAAGTTGTTTGGACGTTATCAAGGATGCTCCCAAATGATTCTGTGGATGATCTAAAAATACCTTAATGTTTGGCAATGAACGGGAAACTAGTTCCATGGTCGTCTATCCATTTCATTACTGTCTTTCTTTAGGGGCAATGCCCGCAGCGGGGAGCTCGCCCCAATAGGGGGCCCTCCCTGTGTGGTGGCGAAAAAGCAAATGGTCCCTCGTAAGGCGCATGCATAGTCGGTCGTCCGACCGTAACGATACGTGATGTAACGTCGAATACTCAGGCAAGTCTGACGATCGATACGCATCGAATGCTGTGCGACAGTTACGATCGTTGCTGTCGGACGACCGACTATGCATGCGCCCTGCGAGCGGTGGGCCTGAGGTCCCCGCAGCGGAAAATGTTTTGGCTCTGTGAAACGCGAAAGTTCGCTTTCTGTCCTAGTGAACCACACCCGTCTTGGCCAACCAAGCCTCCATCCCTACGGGTTCGGTTAATTGGTACCAGACTTGTCTGGGAGAATAAAAACACTGCCTTGTACCACCACAAGTCATTGTGTAAGCCACCTCGCATTCAAGTGCCACTACGAATGTAAATGGAAGTAGAATGCGTATCGAATCCCAAAATAGGATTGATTAACGGGAAATGCTCGATGCTTTATGCTTTACTCGGTGAAGAGTCCAGTCGAACTGTAGTCACAGCTGTTTAACCCACCCCCACCTTGCACCGCACGTTATACCTAGCCGCATCGCGCACGATGTGACACCGAAGCCTTTTTCCGACACTCTAAAGTGAACCAGGGTCAAGCGTGCGTTGAGGAATCCTCGACATGTCACAGAGGGGGGGGGGTCGTATTGGCCCGCTGGGGAGAGATCGGGCCCGATTGATACAGTAGGATCATCGTCGGAGGACAAACATTAAGGATCGAATCGATACCAGGCCAGAGTATTTCCAATAACAATTGATTCCGTCCACACAAAATCTTCGTGATTTAGAGGTATCAATACAACTTATAC